CCTCATACCAACGCCAATCTCCCTAGATACCATTGCACAACAAGTATGCTTTAAAGGTAGCTTTAAAAGCTCAAGTCTAGCTCGGGTAGTGTGTAGTTTGTTTGATATATTGAACATAAACTGTCTGGCACGTGCTACTTGGTATTGGGCCTGTTCAGAAAAATTAAAGGTATACGAGTACCTAATTCCAAGTTCTCGCGTGGAGAGCTGTGTAAGGACACATTCATAGTTTAGGATGAAAGATCCTTCGAGGATGCAGCGGCCGTAAGACATGATGCTTGATTTCTTAGCCGAGAATCTCATCACCCATGTGTAGCATCATGACTCAAGGGAATGTAAGTCATCTTGAATGAGCAGTAGTGTCCCGTGAAACGAGTCACGACGAAGATTATAGACTAGTTTGATATCGTCAGCAAATAAAACTGGCGTACCATGGTTTACAGATGTGGTGATGTCGTTGATGTAAGGCAAAATAGTAAGAGACCGAGCACGCTCCGTTGAATGACTCCAATGGTGATTGAGCGGGGGGAAGAGCGATAATCACCTGAAGTAACTATCTGATGACGATCACTAAGGCATGACGATAGCCAACCTAGTAATGGGTCCCTGATCCCAAAGTTCTCCAACTTGTACGGTACTCGATCGAACGCTTGGTGTATGTCAAGAAACAAAATTACTACTGCATAACCGGAATTGATTGATTCTGGAATGTAAGTAAGGTAAAACGGTTGACGGGTGATGCACGATCGCTTATTAAGAATACCATGCTGCGAATTGTTGATCAGACCAATAGACTCAACGAAGTTCATCATCTCCATTTTGACCAGCTTTGCAAATAGCCGAGCGATTATCGGAGTGTGGTGGATTAGTCGGTAGTTGTCAATCGTTTGTTTGGGACATCCTTTATGCCGATGCATGAGAAATGACGTTTTCCATTGGTCTAGAAACTGGCTAGATTCCAGCAATAGAGTGAACATGCTCGTCAGAAGCAATGGTATATCAAGCCCTCCTAGTTTAATGCCGGTTGGTAAAATGCCATCAGATCCCAGCTTGGAAGATGGCTTAATTGATTTGATAACTTGATAGATATCGTTGAGCGAGATATCGACTCTGCTTAAGAGGTTTGTTACCGTGAGCTCTGTGCACACAAGCACCGGATCAGCTTCGCAACTCATGGTAGTGGCAAATAAGTCACTGAATGCTTCACAGATTTCAGCTGAGTCATGGAATAAGTGACCCACATCATCAACAATTTCGATACTCAGAGGGGAGCGGTCACTGGTTCAACAATGCAGTATTTTGACAAGCTGCATAGTCTTGCGACTTGTCCGTAGGGCTAGATGTTCTTCATTTTGCCTCGTATTAATTGCGCATGTTTGACTCTGGGGATAAATTCGTGCATTTGTAAGGCAAGTGAAAGGCTTAGGACTTTCTGTATGTTGCCACAATTAGATGTTGCTCTTAGCTCCCAGCCTTTTGTTACCTAAACTCCTCTATTATGGATTACACCAAGCATGCTTTCCAACAGGAATTATGCATCAAAGGGACCTAAGTGTGCGACCATCGTTTACTTTTCTCACACCTTACATCAACGATCACTGCACCACAGTGTCTATCTGAACGTTTACGCTGGATAATTTTTTTAAAGTTTACGCTGGTGTTAATTATCAAAGTATTCATCTCGGCAGACGTGCAGTTGATGATCCAGATTTATTTTGATTTCATCATGCTCACCCCAAACATCCTACGGGACGTGTCAAACACTTGCTTTCATCCCGTGATAAATCATTGTTCATTGTTCATTGAACTAACATTCTGGTTTCCTTGCTGATTAAGTGCTTGCCGGAATCTTTGGAGATATGAGGCGTATGAATACATTGTGGAGAAAGGATGGCTATAGCGTGATGGGTTTGTTTCTAGAACTGCTCCTCAGCGGTGTACACCCTAGTAGAGAGGAAAATGTACCTCCCAGTCAGTGCAACGAATGAACTGCTAAAAGCATTCCCAGTTTATCTTATGGGTTGCAACTGGCTGTGTAGAGGCGAGTTTAGTGACCATTTTCATTTGGAAAATGAGTCGGATCATTTCATGGTCGCTGCTAGGGAGATGGTTTAAGATCTCGGGCTGTGAATTGGATATGCCTAATGTGAATATTAATTCCAGTACATTGGCGGACGTGGTTGGACTGATAGTCCAATGTGTTCAGCCCCCAGCTCTGATGGAAGAAAGAAAAGTGATGTGCAAGGTAGACGTCGTGATGGATGACGAAGCTATTTTCGGCAGGTTGAAATTGCGGACAATAATCTTCTGGTTGTGTGGCAACTCTGATGCGAAGTCAAATGCAGAAGTGATGTTGGTGATACTCAAGTTAGACGCATTCGGTGGGTTGTAGATACATGCGACTAATGTGTAAGATGAGACCCCCGCAACTGATAACCAGATAAATCCAGGGGTTTTTCGAATTTTATGTGATCTATAGGTTTAGCTGTAAATGTTTTGTGTATGTATATAATACACCCTCCACCTCTTCTGTTGCAACGATCTTTTCGAAATAGGTTGTAGTTTGGAATAATCAGCGTAGAGTCAAGTGTATCTGAAGAACACCATGTTTCAGTGACGAGGATGACTTGGTGCTTGAACTGTGCAAATGTGTTTATAAAATGAAATTTGTTAATTATGGATCTGGCATTGATCAGAATCACTGAAAAAGCACAAAGTACTGTGGTATTATCGCTGTCCGTTGTGTGATCGTCTGAATCTTTGCGTTCGAGCATAGTGTACATGGTAGGTAAGTGCGAGTATGGTGAGTCCGAGTTAGGCATTGGAACGTCTGTTGATAAGGGTAGCATGTCATATGTGGAGATCGCGACAGTTGGGCGGTACGACGGGAACCGAGGCATCACGCTTAGGCTGTTGTTGTTTCGATAATGTACTAGCTTTGTCATCTGGAGAAATTGGAGGAAGAGTCCATTCCCGTCGCTGCTAAAAAGGGTTGTTGGAAGAAGCCGCATGAGAGGTTGAATGAACATGGAACGGAGCGGGTGGTTGCATAATCCTACTGGCCGATGTTCTTCCATTGTCTGTGCACTTTCAGTGATTGTTGTGGAGCTGAGGATGATAAATAGGCGTAGCCAGGAGACAGTTGTTCGTTGTAGGAGGTTGGTCGATAGCAATTTTGGGTGCCACCGAGTATTTATTATCCAAATGCTTTTAGAGACGCAGGTCCCTGTATTGGAGAAATCCTCATAGGGCAACAGCGGACTATGAATTACATCAGTCTGTCCTTGGACATGTCCTGTCGGTTTCGACCGGGTTGTGATCTATTCAACTAGTTGTCATTACACCTCTTTTCCAAGCACGTAGACTTTCATTTAATCCTTATACATGAGGAGTTCGATATAATTGGAGTATGGTTGTCAGGAATACGAGAACCCGCCTTATTCGTTTCTTGGGTAGAAGCTGTTTCAGTGGAGCAAGGAAAGACGGCTTTGGAGCTAGTTGAGAAGATTGTTAGATAATCAATGTCTAAATCAATGCATCTAGTATCCACCTTGGATGCACTCATCTTTTGGATGTTTGGATGAGATCTCTCGAAGATCCTAGTTATTTTTTCCGGTGTTAGCGGCACAGTTCCAAGTTCGGACCTTTGTAGGGGTGTACTATCTGGTTTCCTCGAAATTCCTTTAAATTTGGTGTACTGGTCTAGAATGGGTCCAAAATGGCGGAATCGCTCACGACTTCCGCGCTCAAAAATTTGAAAATGATTGGACGACAACGTGTCAGTGTCTTTATTTTTAAACATTGACATTTGCAGTCAACGGCAGACATGCTACATGATTCCAGTATCCTTAGTTTTACTTTATCCAGTCCCAACCTGTCCGGAATATTAAAAGCAATCACATTTTCTGCTCTACATATTCGTTGTTACACTTCAAAGGCAACAGAGGCAATTAACTGCCTTGCTTTTTTCATTAGAACAGGATCAGTCTTCTCCAATGTGTTATTGATGTAGTCAGCGTAATCAGGTGATATTTGAGGAGTGCCAGCGCTTTTCAGCTCATCAAGTAGCGATTTCAAAGAAAGAAATTTATCACTTAGTTCTGCGATGAGTATACTTCAGCCGAGGAACGGATTCGCTTTTCTTTTGCAGTCTCGCATTTTATTCGCTTTGCTGGTGGCGTGGAAAGTACACTACGCTAAGCTTGCTGAATACAGCGAGATTTCAGTGGGGCCATTGCGACCTAAGCTTGTCAAGATTCAGACTCAAACGCCAAAGTATGATATTTATGGAATGAAAACCAACCTTGTGTGATTTCTCGCAGTTGGAGTTTGATAGGTGGGTTAGATTCCACGGCTACGCTTGTCGATAATAGCCACAATCTAACGAACGTGTCCAGGCGTGCAACAAATCCAAGATGGCGGACACAGATAGCAATTGAGCTAATCAAGGAAAACTCCGAAATTAGCCACAGAACATCTAGCAAATTTGCACAGATTGAAGTGTACACTAAAAGAAAAATATTGGTGTACAATTCATACAGATAAGTCACGTATAACAGAGTAATCCGGAAGAGAAACTGGAATCCGCACCGTAATCCAAAAATCCGCGGCGTCCGTCGGTACATCCGTTGGGAAAACAAAAACCTTCTACGTGTTTACTAGTCACAACCTATTCCTAGTCTATATTCTCCGTCTAACACTCTTCTTACGTAGATGGACAAATTACAGACAAACGGCTGTTGTTGGTAGGTTTAGGCTATCACCCAGGATTATGTTGTCAGCATTATTTACTTCACTCTTCGAGACTAAAATATGTTCTGCGCTGAAACACACTTGTCCCTTGCAATCTTGCTCCTATGAGGTGATGTAGTTAGTAATACGCGCAGCTGGCGAACACCTCATATGCTTCCTTCACTCACTCTACTTACTCTCTTCCACACTGTTACCTATAGAAACAGATCGCCACATTGTGTATCTCGATCAGCCTCAGTGCGAGCGTGATGTTGAGCTACCTGTTCCTCCCCAAGCTCTATATCATTTACTTTCAACCGGAGAAAAATGTTCGCCGTCTCAACATGAGCAATCGGAGTGCAAAGCTGAAACTGCCGGTAGTCTCGCAACCCGCCTACCTGAACGCTATAACGAAGCAACATAACGACGTTTCACACTTGGACAGTGCCGGCACAAGTGTGACAACTACCGCGGCCCCAACCTCAACAAGCTTGACGTTGACAAGTAGCACTCATGCAGAGGAACAGTTTGGGAATCTTGAAGGTTCAACCGAAATCCCAGCCCCATCTCCGACCGTAATGAATCCCCGACCACCAGGTGAGCGGTAGAAAATAAACGGCAGAGAAGCTACACAGTGAGCTAATTACCTGACTGAATCACGGGGAATGCTGATCCTCAGCAATTCAAAAATTCCCATTTGTTAGAATAAATCAAGGGAGGCAGAATTTGAGTAAAGAATTCTTTACGGTAATTCTTATCGGACCCAAAAATTAGATGATGAGGAAAAAGTGCTAAATGTGCCGGATTGGGCTGCGTATTGAACAGAATGTTTAATTTCACGGGTACCCGTGACGTCGGAAATAACTTGATGAAGAGACAGAAGATGATCTAACTGAAAAAGCAGCAGTACATTCATGTAAAGTTGCTGCGCGTTTTCTAAATAATGAAGCTGAGACAGTTGCTACCTGAGGTGATTTTAAATCCGTCCTCACCTTGTTAGTAAACAAAACCGCGTACGTATGTTATTAATAATGAATGATGATTTATCACAGGTAAAAAATACAAGTGCTTCACAAGTCCTGTAGGATAGATGGAGTAAAAATTAAAATTTGTGTGATCGTGGAATAAGTAAACCGTTGTTTCAAGCGCCCACCGAGTTAAATGCACTACTGCACACCGATAGTTTTAAGTGGGAATGGGATGTGCACAGCAAAATAATATAGAGACCTGTTAAAGTTCAGTACGTGTGTGAGAAATAAAAAGGAAACGACAACGCCCACTCGTGTGTTTCTTCATTAGACAGATGTGGTATGTTAATCCAGTTTAGTTACATCCAGGCTAATCACTTGGACACTACTACATGTATCCTCACCGCCAGGTTGCGGAGAGGACCGTTAAGCACATGATTATGTTTACGTTGTTTCATTCTCCAGGTAGAACAGACTATATCAAGTAATGAAAGTTTGAAAGAGTTTCATCAAGTTGTTTCTTGAAAAGCCTTAATGTGGGGGCAAGGATAACGTGAGGCGGAAGGGCATTCCAGGCGCCAGACACACGGAGAAAGCAAACATTGCGTTTACAATCAAGTCGACTTTAGTGCGTATCCAGTTTGAGCTGCTGACCTCTCAGATTGGTATTTCGGCTCAGCTGCAACAGATTACGACAGGTGTGCATTTGGGTCCGTCAATATTAAGTAAACCAGAATTAGGTCTCCTGGCTGACGTTGATATTCACCACTGCACAATCCCAGGATTGCAGTCTGTGTTGATAGGAATGATGAAGAAATCCTCCAACGAGTTTAGTCGCTCTACGTTGCGGAGCCTCAAGTGCATCGACGTCGCGCTTGCGCCAGGGACGCCAGGCCTGGATCGCTTATTCCACGTGAGGCCTCAAGTAGGTGTTCAGCATTTGCGGAAAAAATTGATGGCTCAAAATTGCCGAAAGCCCTCCGTAAGAGTCCAAGCTCTTGACTGGCTCCTTATGATGCCTTTTCAGCCTGTCTCGAGCAACCAAAGTCGTCCAGCACGATCACCCCGGGGTCGTTTTCTTGAGAAGCACGTTGTAACTGCTGGTTCCCCAGTCGATATTCATAGATAAGCTGATGGCGTATGCTTACGGCTTTGCACTTGGTCACGTTGGACTGGAGCCGGTTGTCGGATGGCCATGCATAAATCCTGTCGAGATCGCTCTGCAATGCCATGTGATCATCCGACGTCCTGATATTTTGCCAAATTTTGATATCATCTGTAAGTAATAAGAAATTCGACTGCAGTATGCTGCCAAGATCATTAATGAATGTGAGGAATACAAGTGGCTCCAGCACCAACCCTTGAGGTACGCCACTCTGGACGCCAATTGGATCAGAAATAGAACTGCATACTCTCACATTCACCTGATGTTAAGTGAGGAAGTTGCCGATCCAACCGAGTATAAGGTCACCGATTCCATAGCTTCGAAGCTTGTGCAGGAGAATGCGGTGGTCCAAACGAGCGAAGGATTTCCAAAAGTTCATGTAGACGACGTCAACTCCCATTCTGGCATCGGCTGACTCTGTCCAGCTTGCTCGGGCTAACAACTACTTTGTAGTGCATGATCAATTTCGGCGGAATCCGTGTTGCTGTGACACTAGGATGTGGTTACTCTCAAGCTATCCCATGAGCGCCTCTGCAATTATGCGTTCCGTTACTTTGGATAAAACTGGGAGGAGAGTGATTGGACGGTTGTTCGAGGGCTCCGAATGTCCACCACTTTTGTAAACAGGAGTGACTAGTTCATGTTTCCACAATGTCGAAACCAGTATTTCGTCTGGAAAACGTTGAAAAAACCGAGCTAATGGTTTGGCAATGTTCACGGATGCTGTCTTCAAGGCCTTCTGTTTGATGTCGTCCACGCCACGTGAGCTGTGCACGCTCAATTACATTAAGGGTTTCACCACATTGGCTGCCGTGAACGATACTTGGTTTACCTCTGATGTCGATGTATGCTGCGTAAAAAGCGCATGAAATGGTGGTTCACTCCGGAAAAATGGATGAAGTGTTGGAGAAGCACGTTGGCTGCATCTTGTGCGGTTTGCGCAAAACCATCTGTTGCACGTAAAATCGGGATCCCGCGCGGCAAGCTGCGGAGCTTGTTGACGTGTCTAGAGAGCAACTTGGGATTTGTACTGAATTTGAACCTAAGTTCTGTTGGTGCTAGAGTTTGTCTTCGCGGATCTACTTGACGCAGTGGTTTCGTTGAGTTGTGTAAGCACCCCCAGATCAGGTTACTTGGACAGGCTTTGTAAGAGCTCCAGGCTGAATCCCTTAAGCCTATGTATTTTCTAGTACGGCTCCTCAGGAACGAATTCATTTGCTTCGGTTGAACGAATTTGCTTTCTGACGCACTTGCCACTAGCTCAGTGAATTGGGTGACGAACTGGATCCAGGCGACATTGGGCTGCTTCTCGGCTAAAAAGGATCAGTCAGTTTCTTGAACGAAGTAGGACAGTTGATCGTAATGTGTAACGACATAGGTTTCCAGATTGTTCTCACTGATGTAATTCGAATAACAGATATAATGAAAGAGCAACAGTGCGTGATCACTACGGCCAAGTGGTGCATTTATGGTCAGGGTGTCGACCATTAGTTCCTCGTTGGAGAGCACAAGGTCTAAAACAGGGGGCGTGCCACCAGTTCGGAATCGCATGGGAGAGGTGACATGGTTGTACAGTGGTACATTGATGACCACCTCTTCCAAATCAACCTTTAATTGTTCGCATTGCCATGCTGGAACTTCGATTGCGATTGAAGTCCCCCACCAGAAGGAGGTGACTGTATGGTCGTGCCAGGACTCGTTTCATCGCAGAAGCTATTCATTATCCATTTCAAAGGTGGACGTCGGAGGGCAGCAAACTATTGCTAGTAAACACACATCACCACGTCTTAGATGCATACAACACCAAAGCGTTTCGACGACTTGCGTTTCTGCGTCTTCGATGACATCAATATGTTGGTCGGATCGATAATACAGGAGCACTCCCCCTCCTCTGCTAGGTAGATGTTTCGTGTGGAATTCATGCCGGTTATTACAATCTCAGCATCCGTGACCTCCGTGTTCAGCCATGTTTCGGTGACCATAACTAGGTTCCAAGGTCTGAAGACCTGACGAATATGAATTTCGGTTAGATTGCTGAGAAGACCTTGTGCATTGGTATACAAGCAGGTGGGGGCATCCGTAGTCAAATGCGTGGGTGAATACTGGTTTCCAAGGAGGGTCTATCTGATCCATGCGGGGTCGGCTGGCGGTCGTTTAATGTAGGAGCGATGACGCAGGCCCTGGGGCCAGTTCAGATTGTTGTGTAGTGCTCTCACCGCCAACAATAGCATGACCATACTATCCTCCATCAGCTGTCGGTGGGTTTTGGCATTGTTTCCGTTCTGAGCTACACAGTGGCAGATTTGTATTGGTAAGTTGTTTGTTCAGTGTTACATTGTCTATCTGTGGCCCGGTGTTTATTGCCATTATACCTACTTCGCATGGCAGGGTTTTTTAATCATTTTATGCCACGATTTGTTCACACTTTCTGCTATCAGTTCGGAGTGCAATGATACTTTCATCACTCGGGGACCACACCACTTGTAGGTAGGTGATATCGGTAAACTTGATGTCAAAGTAGCAATAACATTTTCGAGTGAAAGCAACTTCACAAATAAAACGCCATTCATCCCAGTCATGCGCTTTGACCCTAGTTTGCTTACTGACTGGAGCTTGGGGACACCGTGAACAAGGGTAGACTTCGCGTTTTGTTGTTTACAGAAGTTATTCGGATTTTCTTTGCCTTTCTAGCGTTTGCTCCAAAGAACACCTGGAAATATTCGAACAGTGCCTGTGGTGGTACGGAGGCGAGTGGCTGACAAGAAAACTGCCTCTGCATCATTGCCTGAGTGAAGTGTTACCTGGAATAACCGCCGTTCACCGTAGTGTAGAAGTTTGGATGACGGACGAGCATAAAACAATTAGAAAATTAGGGCAGTGTTTCATGTTCTCTTTTGTGGAGGGGCCAGTGGCTGCTTTCTTTGGTTGGACAAGTGATGGGGTCTTGAGTCCCGTGGTGGTATGGGTAGCGGGCGGGGTTGTAATGGGAGGTGCCTCCTTCATATGGGTAGCAAAAACGGACGCGTAGGTTGTCGGCCCTCTAACAGTGTTTAGTGTAGCGGGGTATTCTGTTGAGGAAGGTGTGGACAACGCATCTTTATGGGGAGACGTTAGTGTCGAAGTGGCTAACTCTGGATCGTTACTCTTACACTGTATTTAATTTTCAGTTTGACTTTGAGCATCGAGTTCGAGGCACTGCTTTTCTAGTTCATGAGTGACAGTTTTCATGGCTGCTTCGGGCTCTACAATCTTTGTCAGCTTACCGTACTTCTGCGACAACACAGTTATACATCTAACATGTGGAAGAGAGGTACACTCAGTGCACACCCATAGTCAATCAGTCTTACTATTAAGCACATTTATCTGGCTGCGACTAAGGCGAGCACATCGAGAATGGAAGTATTTTCTGCAGTTTCTGCATTCTATTCCAAGTCGCACAAGTTTTACACAGCTGTCTACGCTACAGCTAACTTGCATTTCGGTAGCTTTGTGCTTAGCTCACTGCGGGCATAGAGTACGTGTCACTGTGAGTGTCAGATCTGCGCAAGCCGTTCGTCGGAACGTCTGCACTGGTATGCGGAATCCAAACGTCGTTGGTCAAGCTGATGGTCTGGCACACATCTGTTCGATTGCTGTAGAACAACTCCAAGATGGCGGACACAGACGGCAGTTGAGCCCATCAGTGAGATCTCCGATAGTAGCCGTCAAGCACGTTATCCTGTGGAATTGCATGTCAGCTCTTTTGCAAGTGCCATAACATTTGCATTCTGGACCAGGATTCGATAATGGCTTTGTGTTTTCAGTGCAGGAGAAAAATAAGTGGTGGGAAAGGTATACTGAATACGGTGAACTAGATAATAATGATTCATACAGGTAAACAGTGCTAAACAAGTTCCATGAGATGAAGACATTTGAGAAAAGTACACATGGCAACAAAGCAAAGACGTTTTGGTGGACGCACTATGGTGTTCATTTACGTACAAGAGCGCAGCTTTTCAACAAATAACAAGTATAAATACCTCTAGTTATAATTCTATCTGTCAGAAACTACAAGTTCCGTCAAGCTGCTACACACACTACCCGTCTTGTAAGCATTAATTCTTAGAGTTTTAGGAACTTTTCCCCATTATTCGTAGGACAGCCTGCCATCCCAAAGCAAATCTAGCTGAGAGCACCAGTGACTCATTATATCTGTGGCACCCATGCAGTAGGAACATTTTGGGACCATACATCAGCTGTCTGTTATAGGAGGGAGTGCTAGGTTTTCGGCACAAAAAGCTGCACAATGCGAATCATTTGCGCGTATTTAGGATCATAAGTATTGCTTTTCCATAACCGGATTCTGAGCGTATAGGGACAGCAGACTTAGGCATACACTTTGATGCCCCTGTAGTGCTGCCACCCGATGTAAGAATTTGTGTTATTGAGTGAGCAAATGTTTGCAACTGCTCCCATTTTTCCATCCACAGGAAGGCGTCCAAGCCTCAATGTAATCTCCAACCCGATAGCTCTGTCCCTCGAAATGAAAACTAATTCAACCCAACAGCAGCGTCCATCATTCACTGAAATACTGCCAAACAGAAGCCAGTTGCAGCCGCTGCAGAACGGTATGCAGCAGTTTCCAAACGAATTCCTCATACCTACTCCAATCTCCCTAGATACCATTGCCCAACAAAGTATGCTTACGCCACCCTACTGTGATGAGCCCACGTCAGCGGAGGAAGACGAATTCTATCCCGGACGCAGAGCGTTGGTTTGCGACTGCGGTGCTTCCTCATCCTCCCAAATACTATCCAACCTTTGTACAACTCTGCATTCAATCAGCAATTCCAGTTACTCAGGTCAAACTCCGCACAGTTCCGATTTTTATTTGCACAGTTGCGGTGAAGATACACAGGTGGCACTCAGCACAACGAGTACCAGTTCCAGTGTGGAGAGTGAAATGGTGTTTAGGCAACTGCGACAATCGAAGGAAGCAAAGTCACGTATGGATAGCACAAAACAAACCGTGACGGCCTTATAGAATGTTTTGCCTAAAAGAATGTTTCCTCTCTCATGGGCAATACTCAGGCTTATTGCTCAAAGCTAATTGTAATAGATTTTATTATGCTTCAGAGGATGAACCAGCTGATGTGCAGTAAAGCACCTTTTTCATGATAGAGTAAAATTAAAGATTATTTCTCAGTGTTTGTAATAGAGTAAACATTGCTTTTTATGATTTCACAAAGCCGAGGTCTCTTCTTGACCACAAAATTGTACTTTGTTGGGCCTGCTCAGTAGTCCTTTCAAGCTTGATGCTGGTTTTGATGTGTTTGGTGTAAATCCTACAATAACAACGGAGATGAATCTCATCGAATTTCAACTATACAAAACTGCAGTAGCGACCTGGCCAAAATAGGTGATACAACGAGCTAGAAGGAATGGAGCGTAGGTAAGTGAGCACTCGGAGCAAGATGGCGTGTGACGTATCGGGAAAATGACATTGAAAGTACAAAGATCACTATAATCCACTGTTGTAAAACGGTGAAACTGTTTCCGGTCTGGGTTCAATACCGGGTTGGGGTAAGCGCAACCTTTCCTGGATCTTTAATGAGGGAAACCAACCACATACAATTAGTAGGTGAGCAAGTACGTAGAATGGGGCGAGCTTGAATTGCGTCCCAGTTCCGGTTTAACATAGCCTCTCATCTCAGCACAACAGAATACAGTTGCTAGTATCGCAATTGTTACATCTGTTTTGCGTGGTGCATCAAGGAAATCAAGGAAATCAGAGAACATCCGAGGAGGCTAAAATATCCGACCAATCATATCTCGCAAAAGAGAAATTTCCAGTGTCAGTATTTTGACTGTACTGAATAGGACAAATATTATCAGTAAACAAGGACGACTATTCAGGAGATGCGGTAAAGCGTCACGGTGTCATAAGCCACAGACTAACCCTGCATCCATTCACTAGCGTTGCACCAAATAGTAAGCTCAGTGAGGCAAGTAGGCAATCGTTTATATGCATGAGACAATATTAGCCATCAGCTACTTCGTTATTCCTCTCTAGTGGAATGCCAATAGCTTCACAGTAACACATGTGACTAGCTCATTTGACTATCTCATACAAAAACTACAGAATGTTCATGGGTGCTCCACCAGGCCTTCAAAACTAGGGCACATATGTCTGTCTTAATTGTCCATAGGTTGCCTAAAACCACGAAACGGGCTTGTATTCTGTCCAAACTCCGAACTGACATTGCAACATCCTTGAATTTCTCCATCCTTATGCCAACTGCTCATTAATGTCATCATGCAAAACGACTGTTCCAATACCGTGAAATCTCGGTGTCGCCTAAATTTCCTTGTCGAAGAGCAACCGATATTGATCGCTATCCTCCATTGTTTTAGTGGCGCTATTTGTTTCATATTAGATTAGGTGATTACTAGATTGTGCATGTGTTTTCCAGATAAATTTCCTCAAGCAGTATTAAGGGCGACCCATGGTTTCCAGGCAGCATAAATGGGTGATTCGACTTGTTAATCAATGAACCGACTATAAGCTGACGGTGTAGGTACATCGACATGCTTTTACCGCCTTTCTCGGCCGTGATGTCCGCTACACACGGATTACAAACCGCACCACTGAGCAACACTACAGATATGCTTCGGCCAATCCAAGCACCATGAGGTGGTGATCACGAGGTTAACAACTAAGTTCCACGGAGTCACTGAAATGGATAGAGAACCATTGTCAGTTCCAAAGTGCAAGTCCATAAAAGCTTGCAGCAATGCTTCACCATGTGCTACACCTCGTCAGCGTGTGCGTGCTAATCGTGCAACCCTGTGCTCTGTGTTTAATTAGACGTATCCCTTCACATTCTTGTGCCACGTCTTCGGAATTACTTTCAATCGATTTGGATCACTGAGTTCTATCCAACGGCGTCTATATTTTTGAAGTAAGTCCAACGACACTCTGGTACACCACAAACAAACTCCGGAAGTCTATTCATCAAGGACAACTTGAGTAACTTTGCATATTTGAGTTTCATCAGTACCTTCGGGATACCGTTCGACAGATCTTTAAGGCTGTCAGACAATATATAACTTAGTACTGTGCACCAGGGTATACCACAGGTACAAGCATTTTTGTCATCTCACCTTACCACCATATTTTTACGTGCATTTCACTGCACAAAGCCTGTGTGATTTTGCCTACTTGTGCGCCTACTGACGCACCACCCAAACGAGCTGAATGGAGCAAACAACTGAATCAGCCCAAATGGCGTGACCAGCGCAACCTAAACGTGCATACCGACCATTGATCCATGGGCCGGAGAAGTTTGTCAACCGGGAATCCAGTGAGCAACAAACTTAAGGTCAACCGTAGCTCAGACAAGCAGGGAACTGAAATCCGCTCGAAAATCACGTGTTCGTTCTGTGCCAATTCATATGACGCGACGAATGTGAACATTACACTTAACGGAGCTAACAGCGTATCGACAGGTTGGTTGTGTTTCTGCGACTAATGTTCAGATAGTCCGATAATTAAGATTGTTCAAACGCTTACGATAAGGTGTGAAGCATTGACTGTTACGTCTGCAGACCAAAAGGAACTGATCGCGGCATTGAGATGGAAAATCTCAGAACTCGAGTTGCAGATTAGTGCACTACGTAGCCCGAATCCCCGACCTGTTAAAAGGCAAAAGCTCTCTTGCAACAACGCTACCCAGTCCAGCGAAAGACAAACACCGTTAGAGAAAAACAGCAGTGAAAACAGGCCGCTTGAACAGTACCTGAAGTCTCACGTAATGCGCCAAAACATACAGAGTTACGCACAAATTGCACGATCACCTCCCTCAGTAGCTGGGCAACAACAATTGACCCCTACAGATGGTGCAACTAACGGCGTTGCACGTAAAAATCCTTGCTGTAGCATTGGACTATCATCCAAGGAAGACAAGCCAGACACCCCCACTCGATAAAACTACGCTTACAAGGAACTGCAGAACAAACAATTACTACGCAACCAAAAGACGATGACAGTAATGTGTCCATACGTCCCAGAACCCACTAGCGAATCGCTAAAAGGTTGACAAGCCGAGGAGCAAAACCGATGGGCTGAAATAACTTGCGCACTCGGACTGAAAGTTCTCCCAACTAGTCTTACACGCCTTTCAAGAAATCTATCCTCTCCACACTTAGGGGAACCTCTGTTACATCGAGTAACGATTATCAACACGCGTGAGCTGGAAAACCTTCTCTTAGCAAGCTACATGCTAGTGAACTCTTCTGTCAGTGCCCGCATTTTTCCTGACAGGCAATTGGCAGAACGACAGAAGCGAAAATCCAACCCGATAGGAAACAACAACTTGGGACCTCATAGCAGTTACTGAAACTTGACTCTCAAACGACATACTTGATCCAGACCTTGAAGTCAGTGAGAAGTCAGTCATTCGCAATGATCGTCCATCTGGCGGTGGCGGTGTTGATCTCTACTATCGAGATTATTCGAAATGTGAGGCTCTTACCGAATATGCCCTTGTTATTCCCGACGCATTATTATGCCGACTGCACCTAGCAGGTCGAGATGTTGGTTCACAGAAGAAGAGTGATGCTTACCTCTTAACAGTTATCTATAGATCTCCGAACTCATCAGCAGACAGCGATAACATTCTGTTAAACGCCTTCCGCTATGCTGTTTCACAAAAGTACTCTCACTATCTCATAGTGCGTGATTTTGATGTTACTTCAATAGCATCAATGTCCCCTAAGGGGCCATCATTTAAATCAAAACACCTCACATTCATGGATATGGCAGTTTTGTATAACCATGTGCATCGACCAACCAGACATCGCGGTTCAAGCAAGCCATCAATCCTGGACTTAATCCTGACTAATGAAGAGTTGCTGGTTGAGTCAGACGCATACGATTCTCCACTGGGCTGTCGCGACCATTCTGTTCTAACATTTGGTAATGTGTGATATGCCAGTATTGTTGCTAAAGAAAGAGAGACTCAACGCACTAGTACGGACAATTACAAGTTGCGCAGCTTAGCAGAAACCGTTGACTGGGACGTACAGACGCACAGCTCAGCGAATGACGCGTGGAATGAATTGAAAGACAAAATTAACTGGGTCATACAATCAGCATCGAAGGTTGTACCATTACGAACATCGCGCCGGACCAATACGTGGATCCGGAGCAGAACACGTAAATGGATAAACAAAAGAGAAGAAATCTGGAGGCAACATTTGCTAAGCCCATGTGATATCACATGGCAGGATAACAAAGTCATCAGAAACTACTGCACGTCACTCATTAGAGTCGATAAGTACGAATGGCAGGAGAATATGGTGCTGTACTTTATTAGTAACACCAAACTACTATAGGTTTGTGAATGGCTAAATCAAGGTTAAGCACGTAACACCACCTCACATCCTTTTTCCAGGGTCTGCTTAACTCCCATACACTCCCATCTGAGTGGAAAAATGGAATTATCACTCCAATAAATAAAGGTGGTAAGCGCTCGGATACTACTAACTACCGACCTATTACTCTCCTTCCTGTTTTACCAAAAGTTATGGAATCGGTAATCGCAGATGAACTGACGCCATACTTTGAAAGTCAAAAGATAATTTCTAATGCCCAACATCGTTTCCGACGCAGACGATCTTGTCTCACCAATTTACTGATTACTTGAGACTTATGGATCAGGGCGGCTGATGAAGGAGTGCCCATAGATGTGATATACCTGACTTTTTCTAAAGCATTCGACAAGGTCAATCACTTCTTTCTCCTCCAAAAGCTTGCTGCCTACGGTGTCAACCGTTCCCTGCTCACCTGGTTGGAAGACTACTTACACGACAGGGCAATCAAGGTTAGAGTAGCCGACACCTATTCTGAAAGCCTTTGCGTCTCCAGTGGTGTACCACAAAGATCCGTCCTCGGCCCCCTACTGTTTTTAGTCTACATTAATGATCTTCCAGCAGACATTCTACCTCCAATACATATATTTGCAAACGATGCTAAAATATGGA